TGATATTGAAATGCAAAAATTAAACCGACTTGGCACCCCACATTTGGTTTTCTACTGTTTCTCAACTGTAGTCAATTGTGCCCGTTTTGTGCTCAATTGTGCCAGTATTTATGCGAATTGTGCTCATTTTCATACACAAAAAAAAAACATTGAAACGAATCCGGGGGCCAGCTTGACTCCAGCCCTTCGTTTTTTTGACTTTTTGGCAATATGTTTGGCGTTTGGCTAATTGATAAACAAAAGCAAACAAACTCGTCTTTCTAATTAGCAAGTAGCCAACCACTCAAGCCTCAAGGACACAAGCTTTTGAAGTCTGCTAATTTAAAAATCAATAAATTAATTACAAAATACAGTTTTCAAAGGAAATAACCTCAAAATAACAATTTTTCACGTTTGAAAATGCAAGGATAGTGCACTGTCATAAAAAACACAAACCGATCAAGGACTGCGTGACGTCATTCGCATACCGCCATCTTCGATGTTTTTATGAACGTTTGTCTTATGGGATTGAGCAATCCTGTAGAGTTTACGATTCTTGTCCGGGGGCAGATAATTATTTTTAAAATTTGACATATCTGACACTAAGACAGGCGTCTCACGCCATGATACTGGAACGGTACAAATCTAGTGCGTGGCGCCCCCGAGGTGCTCTGGAGCGCGCCAGAGCGCGCCAATGTTCATACTGGAAAGCGGCTCTGTTTATAGTCCAAGAGCCGGCAATACGAACGGGTATGTGATCGTTGCAATGGATAATTTCTACATAAAACAATAGTTCATAGTAACCGTTAAACCAAATGGATGGGTTGCCTCGATTCTCATGGCCGTAAAGTTGTTTTATAAAAAGATACTTCAAGAACCATAAGCGCAACAAATAAGAAGTACCTTGCGGTGTAGGGGGTTCTCATCATATGCGGCAAACACTTTATTAACACAATTTCATGTTTGTTTTTTTGTCTAAAGACCTACAGCTGTATGCAAAATCCTCTTCACAGAGTCCTCTTTTAACTTTGAAAGTGACTTTGAAGGCTGTCACTTTCAAAAATTTGTATTTAGCAAGCAAAATAACGCGTGCCCTCGACTTTCAATGAGGGGTGCCATCATTTCCGGCCATCAAAATCAAGGCCATTATATATATTATTTGAGAAGACATATTAAAGAATATATCTACCAATTTTCAGCTATTGCAACGATAACATTGTTCCTTCGGAAAAAGAGGGGTAGTTTACGCCCAGCCATTTAGTTTAAAGGTAACTATGAGCTATTATTTTATGTGAAAATTATCCATTACAACGATCACATACCCGTTAATATTGCCGGCTCTCCTACTATTAGATGTAAACCAAAAATCGAGAGCCTAGAATAGACATAATTATGAAAATAAAGAAAAAAACGTGCGGTTAAATAAGCAAAATAGTTTTCCTGATCAGTGCTCAAAGTAATGTTTTCCTGCACGCAGAAGCAATTAGTAAAGTTTCAAGTGCGAGAAAACTACCTTGCGCACGTGTAACAAAAATTTTTCTAAGAATGAAATAAATAATATATAGGTACCAACATTTTTGATTTAATTTTTAATTTTTATTGACATCAAAAACCAAAACTTATACTACACGCGAATTTGTAAGCAGGGATATTTTGTGATTTCACGGGTTGTCTTGAATTTCCCTTGTTCTCGTATTCGAGGCCAGTGGCGATCTCTATGAGCAGTCACTAATAATTTTCAAAATATGATTAAAGATTTTCAAAACGTTTATGACGTCAATACACATGCTGGCGTCATACAAACGTATAGTGGGTTAAAACCAACCCGCAGGTGACTTGTTATCGAGAAACCCGAGAAACCGGCCCTATAGGTCAAAAAAACGGATTCCTAAATGTCAAAATCTTGTTAAAATCATCTTTTCTACATTTAAAATCGACGAAAAAATTAAATAACAAGCACAGTCTAAATCGCAAGCATTCCATCGAGGTCTGAGGGTGACGTCACCACTATCAACTGCTGATGTGGTGACGTCTCTCGCAGATCCTGCCGACTCTAGAATTGGCGAACGTACGCTTTATTAGGATGAGCAATCCTGTTAGTTTACGATTCTTGGATCCAAACCAAGGTTCATACAAACCATCCTTGCATCCAAACGATCCAAAGCACAAATGCCAGGATTCAATATGTCGCCAAAGGTCAAGCATTTGTGATGTTTGTTAAATCGTCTTAAAACCTCGATATCGATATATTCCATAAAAGGTTACCATAACGATACATCGTGTCTGTGACGGTTTCTTACTTAAATTTTTAAGATTCAAGATTCAATAAGCTTTATTGTCGAAAAAATACATCTTTTTTATGGACAAAGCAGAATAAATTTAGCAGTACAAAAAAAATAAAAAAAATACAATAATAATAACATTAATAAAAAAAATTGCCCAATTAAGGCCAAACATTTTCGTACAGGATTAGAAACTAATAAACTCAACAAATATTACGATTAGAAGAATAGATTGGTACAAGGAACCTAACATCGATTCAATATTATATTACATTGGGTACGTTCAATAGCACTGAACTGTTGCCCACAGTTGAGTAGTTGGGATAACAATCGCATTCAGCGGTACTCAGCAAAAGCCGCTTTTTGTCAGCTGCAGCCGATTTGTCAGCGGTAAAAATGTACGCTTACTAACTGAGCCCATGTATATCGATATAGCTTTGTCATCCCTAACTTAGCAGAGACGTGACTTGCCCGTGACAGTACTGACAAGGAGAAAACTCGGATCGAGAACCACAAGCCCTTTTCACGTGCCTCGGGTTTAACAAACCGCAACATACCGCTCAAATTCGAGTGGTATCGATGACGTCACTTTGTAGCCGGGTTAAGCTACATCCTCAATCAATCTGGTAGCGAAGTGGCACTTCGGCAGGCATGATGGGAAATTGATACCCCTCCTCAATGCTGTCAATTTTCAAACTGCGTTTTCCTGATTTTTGTAATTCTCTGTCCATCTTTGCAACTATTTGGAAATAAAGCAAAAACAAATACAAATTTGTACAATCAAAATTCAAAGAATATTTCAAAACTTAGAAAAAGAATATCATTTTGACATACGCGGGCGGCGTAAATTCTCCACGCCATGTGAATATTGCGCCAAAATTCATGTATTCAGTATTTGCGCCAGTTATGTCAAGTTTACACTCATGAGAAGTCGGCCTAAGTCGTCAGCTGTTTAAACAGCCTACATCAAGGCCAGAAATAATATGCTGGTGATTTGGCGCGTCTTGGGTGGGAAGGGGGATTTGTTACACACAGGCCTTTTATGAGGACAGGCCAATCAGGCCATCCTGTAGCTGTATCATCCTTGATTGGCTCCTACCCAGCAGGGAAACGTACAGGATTTTGCGCAAAACGTAAAATTTGTGCGTAGAAACCAAGGATAATACACCTACTACTACAGGATAGCTCATCCTCATAAGGCCTGTGTAGATCAAACCCCAAGCCACTCAACATGCCAATGAACCAGTGATGACGTAGACAGCGTGTTGTTTCTCGTCTTGACGTGTTTGCACCACACCACAGGTTATGATTCCGCCGGCTTCTGCTTCATGCATACTTGGTTTTATGGCCGTTTCCACCAACTAATTTAATGGAGCTCTAACGATAAGTATTCCTTAAACTGACATTTCTTTCTGGAATACTGTCATTTTAAGGAATACTTATCCTTAAGACTCCCCTAAAATAGTTGGTGGAAACGGCCATTAGTACATCAATTAACATTCTGAAACAACGCTGTCTTAGATCTCGTTTGAATTTTCCCCTTTGCCTATTATGTTAATCCAAATTAAATAATTTTCATCATAATTCTAAACTGTGACCGCTGGGGCAAACAGCTAACGACGTAGTTGATGATATCGTCAGTGGTGCTACACAATAGATCTGTTTGTTATTTAGGTGTAGGATAGGTCAATGCAGACTTCTGGTTCTGGTGCAGCTTGGTGTAGCTGATGGGCACCAGAGCCGTTTTCTCGCGTCCACTTTTTTGACATTGGTTCAAAACAGTTTTGAAACGGGCAATGGTGTTACTATTGCCCGTTTCAAACCCTATTTTGAAAAAAGTGGACCCGAGAAAACGGCTCAGGTTCAAGGAAAAATACCAAACGCGTTAGTGCAGTTCGTGCAGCGATAGGAGCGGATAATTCTCTAACCGCACAAAATTATTATTTAAGTAGACAGGGCTGGAACTCTGTAACGGATAGAGATCGTTATCCCTATCGCTATGGCACTTGCTGTCTTCTTTTCTCTTCTCGAAATCAATAGAGAGGGAACGTCAATAAAGATAGGGAAAATATCTCTATTCGTTACAGAGTCCCAGCCCAGGCGAGTGATTTTATCAAAAATGTCATGAGCGAAATTGCCAAGCAACAAACTTTCATACCTTTCGAAAATTTTGCCGACAAAATTTTTTCTCTTGTGATATTATATATGATAATAATTAAAGTGGAAACTAACCGAGAAAAAAAGGTGTTATATTATGAAAAGTACAAAATTCACAAGGTTTTATTGTCGGAAATCATAGAGGAAGATGGAGATTCTCTATCTTCTTACCCTGAAGACAGCTTCTTTGAAGTAGTTTTTAAATGCTATTGCCCGTCCCCATTCTGCACTTGTTACACCTCCTCTTGAGCAGGTGTAGGTAGTGCAAGATTGGGCACCCTACACTGAAATAACAAACGCCTTACACTATTTGCACTAACCGTATAACAAAAGCCTCAGTGCAGAAAAGTGTAAATTATTGTGCACTAGTGGAGGATGACAAACAGACCTAATATGGCCACGATTCCCAAAAACGAAGCCGGTGAGCAATCCTGTGTAGTACTGTGTATTATCCTTGCGTAGAATCCACAGTAGAATCCGAAATTCGTATACACCTTGCCCTTGCGTTCGGTATTTTGTTCAAAGAGCAGAGCGTGCACAGCGGAGCCGTAATCACGTGACCAGCGAGCGCACAGAGCAGTTAAACGCTGTATTGGAGGGCTCGAAAGTTTAATAAACAAACGTGAATGAGCCTGCACCGAGTACAGTTTTAAAATAAATAAACGAACCGTAAATTTATGCTCGGAGAACTCAGACCAAAATACCGAACGCACGGACAGAGGTTCAGAAACTGTTTTTGGGACGGTTTTTTTGGCGGGATGGAACAGACCTATTATTTATGAATATATAATTTTAAAATGTTGTTGTATATGCATGTGTCGTATTACGATTCATATATTTCATAAGAAATATTTTAAAATACATGTAATTTGAGGTAGAAAAGAACGATCACTGGAGAGCAATTCTTCACTGGACCTGGACATGTAAAAAGTGGCTTCTTTAAAATCCAGGCAGTCATTCATCAAAAAAAAAATTAGAAATATCGTATTACAAGTATCGATATTTTCTCATATTAATATCGATATCAGAAAAAAGAATATCGATAAAGCGTGCTCTAGGTTATGAAGAATTGTGTCACTTTTTAAATAATATGGCGCGCAGTTCAAATTTTAAACATTTCTTGATAATTCAAATTGATAATAATAAATTTTAATTGATTACATGCTTATATAATCCCCACGCAAAATGATAATGTTTCAAAATATTTATGTGTCGCAATAAAAACTGCAGTAGCAAATTGGTGATTAATATAAATTTATTATCTTAATTTTTATCTGATCCTTGTAAGACGCAAATTCCATATAATTTATACCTGCTTCAATCTCAATTTATTATCAGCCCTCTTTTAGAAGCAATTACATTCCAGGAAGTAGGTTTATTGTTCTATTGTTGTTCTTAAATGGTTGACCTGCTATTATTATTTTGTTTCTATTTCAGCATCTTTTACCTTCCACTTGGGTTCAGTAAACAATATTTTTCTTCGAGAAGCAGATGAATAGTCGATTCGACATGCGTGAAGATATAATAGCCAAGAATCAACTACAAATAGGCGAAAAATCAAGGTAACATTTTTTGTGTTTTTATATGATGTTTACCTTGTCATAATTTTAAAAAACATGATCAACAAATTGTTTTTAAAGTTTTTCCGTGGCAAAGTCTTACCTTTTTTCATTTTCATTACACTTGCTTACTATAAATTCCTAGTGAATTTACTTGGGTAAGTTAAAAATAAACCTTTTAAATTGGGGGTCAACTTGTTGCATAATAATAATATAACCTAAAAATCTAGTGTAAAGAAGCAATTTGTTAACAAAAATCAAATGTATTTTCAAATTAGGTACATTAAATAGGGTGTGAATATGCTTTTGTAAGGCCATACCTTTCCAAAAGTAAGAGTGTCATCCTCACTATTCGCCATACCAAGGAGAAAATGCTATCTAAATAGTCAAAAATGCATTTTTTGAGCCAGTACCAATAAATAGTCGCATTTATTTCTATTTTACAATTAATTAGTTCATATCTAACTATACATTTACATTATTTTGACCGAGATTTTGACTACAGGTGGCTCAGTCCAAATTGGCTATCATGGAATAAATACTCAGAAGCTATGTTGAGAACTCTTGAGAGGAAAATTTTAAAAAGTAAGTGGATTATCAATTTGAATTTATCCTGATATGGGATGTTTTTATTTATAAGGGGACATTACTAATTAATAATAATTATAAATATAAAATATTCATTTATTCACATTAATTATACTTTGTACTTTGGTTAAGTATGCTGTTTCTAAAGCTTAAGATACCTATCTAATCTATCAGAGGTGACTAATTTGAGTACTTTATTATATTAATAGTGTTTTTTTTTTTCAGTTCTAAAAACTTCCTACAGAGGTTTTTATGTGGACATAGGCCCAGTAGTAGGACCCACTGACAAAATATGGACTCTTTCCTTCAATACGGACTCACCAAAAACCCCTTTGGTTCTTATTCATGGCTTAGGGGCTGGTGTGGCGCTGTGGTGCTTGAATATAGACGATTTGGCTGATACTAGGCCTGTTTATGCTTTTGATATGTTAGGTAAAAGAAATTTATTATTATTTATTTATTTATGCCAAGACCAATTTACAATAATATTAGGTCTGTTTCTGCTGAAATCACAAACCATTCAGAGTGAATTTCATTGGTTGAAACTAGTTTTCTGACTGTTTTCAACCAATGTAATTCGCTTTGACTGGTTTGTAATTTCTGCAGAAACAGACCTAATAAAAATACAATTTACAATATAGTTTTACAATATACCTAAACCCGAGCCGAAACCTAAGCACGAGCCTAAGCACATAACAGACAACACCCTGATTTATTTATTTAACCAGAAAAACAAATTATTTACATAGTTATGTGTAGCCCTTGATCAAGTTCTACATATTTTCATGGAGGCACCTAGATGTTAGATACATCTGCATGTGCCTCATTTACAACTAATCTGTATAATAATATAATATACTAACAATAAATTCGCTCAAAGCTCCAATTACAATGCTACAACAATAATTATCTCAGCATAACATCAAAACAAATGGTTCACTATTTGAATACTTCACCAAACAAATCATAATTATTGAATATACATAATATATGTCTTGCATTCCCTTGCAAACACATTTTCATTTTTTAAATGTGTTTGCAAGGGAATGTACATTCATTCATTGCACGTAGGCCGCCTGTCCGGGCCCGTTGTGCACCCACTTTTGTTTAATCTAGCCTCGCGGCTCTGGCAAATGCACAGAGCTTTCGGGGCTTAATCTTTCTTATGTCTTTGGGGTCAATAACGTGTCTGCCGAAGTACACCATTCTGATCCTGGCAATAGCTGGACATTCGGTGAGGACATGGAATTGAGGTTTCTTCATCCTCAGGCAGAATCTGCACTCAGGGTCATCTATGATCCCCATCACGTGCAGATGTCTGTTGAGCTGACAGTGTCCGGTGAGGAGTCCTGTCAGCAATTTGGTGTCCTTCCTCCCAAGCTCCAGGATAACCTTGCTCTCGCTTGGCTTCCTGGTTCCCATTAGCAGTTTGGCCTGCCTCATTCCGCTGCAGCTTCTCGGCTTTGCGAAGTATTGCCTCCTTTAGAAGTGCCACTGCTGTCGAGTATGGCAGGCCTATTACTGGTTCAGGACCCATTACTGAGTCTGCCGAGCCTTTCCTCGCCAGAAGGTTAGCCTCTTCGTTGCGTCGGACATTGGAATGTCCCGGTACCCATACGAGGTTGACGCTGTTGTGTCTGGCTATAGTGCACAGCGTAGTTTTACACTCTGCCACTATCGCTGAGTCCACTCTTTCCGATGACAGTGCCTGTAGTGCCGCTCTGCTGTCCGAGTAGACATAAATATCCTTATTTGTAAAGGCATGTTGGAGGTTTTCGTGACCACATTTTAGGATGGCATAGATCTCTGCCTGAAAGACGGGTGCGTACGAGCCAAGGGCGTAGGATAACCTAGCGCCTGTGGTTTCCCCGTAGACGCCCCCCTGCGCCGCTGCCCATCTTTGAGCCGTCTGTGAACCAGACTACTTGGTTGGCGGGCCGCGGTGTGTCTGCTGTGTTCCCCCACTCATCCCTACTGGGATAGGAGAATTTGAGGGGTTCACATGGCTGGTTGGTAGGTAGAGTCTTATCCCGTTTCATCAGCAGGGCTGGGCAGCTTTGCGTTGCCTCTCGCCAGATGCTTATATGTTCCCGGAGACATTTATTGTCCCTCAGGTGTCCAAGTCCCTGCAGCCTGTATTCCGACCTCAGGACTTCGTTTTCCAAAAATAGGTGGAGAGGTGGTAGCCCGACCAGCCTTTCAATAGCTTTGGTTGGGGCCGTCCTCATAGCACCAGTTATCCCAATGCAAGCAAGTTTCTGGACACTGTCTAGCAGAGCCCTGGCCTTAGCAGTCTTTGTGCTGGGTCACCAAATAATGGCACCGTAGGTGATAATGGGTCGTATGATTCCCGTGTATATCCAATGCAGGATTTTGGGTTCCAGGCCCCACGTGTTGCCAAAGGCTCTTTTGCATGCCCATAGAGCATTGTTGGCTTTCTTGACTTTACTGCTTAGGTGCTCCCTCCAGGTCAGCTTTGAGTCTATGGTAATCCCCAAGTATTTCACTGACCCAGAGTGTCTAAGCCTACGACCGAAAAGGTTGACCTCGGGTATTTGTCCCGGCCTCCTTTTCCTTGTGAAAATTATCATCTCGGCTTTGTCCGGGTTCACGTTCAGGCCCTGTGCCCGACACCAACGTTCCACCAGGCCTAGGGCCTGGGTCATCAGTCTGCCCAGCCGTTCCGTGGTCTGACCCATCAGGTCGTCGGCATAGGCCTGAGTGTGATATCCCGCTTCGTTCAATTCCTGCAGGAGTCCGTCCACCACCAGACACCAAAGGAGTGGTGACAGCACCTCTCCCTGAGGGCAGCCCCTGGCTACCTCGGCTTCTGCGGGTTCGTTGTTGATTGTTGCTCTAACTGTGCGTCTTGACAGCAGGGCCCTAATCCATTCCACTATGGAGTGGTGAGCGCCACGCCTGCCCACAGCTAGGCATATCGATTCGAAGGACGTATTGTCAAATGCGCCTTCTATATCCAAGAAGACTCCCAAGGTGCACTGTCCTCGGTCCAGCGCTCCCTCCACTCTGTCAACTAGGTGGTGCAGCGTCGTCTCCGCAGACTTGCCCGCTTGGTAGGCATACTGATTATGGTGCAAGGGAAATTGCACCAGTGCCTCTTCTCTGATGTGCCGGTCTACCACTCGTTCCATCGCCTTCAGCATGAAGCTGGTAAGGATGATTGGGCGAAACGATTTCGCCTGCAGGTAGTCCGACTTTCCCGGTTTGGGGATGAACACTACTCTGACTGCTCTCCAGGCCTTGGGTATGTAGCCCAGAGCTAAGCAGTGTCTAAAAATAGCCAAGATTAGAGGATATGGGCTTTCAGGGGCCCTTTGATATCTATAGCCCATTTCACTCTTTCATATGTGATGCCCTTGGACGCCAGCTTATAATCAGGCTTAGGGCTTGCCACGCGCACAGCGTTTCTGGTCCTTTGGGGATCCATGCGTGATCCAGGGAAGTGTGTCGCCAGGAGGAGGTCCAACGTCTCCTTCACATTTTCCTTGCTTTTGCTTTTTTATATTGCAAGGTAGCATATTATATATTTTCGGTGCCAAATAGTCAAAGAACCTCAGGTTAATGCTCTTATGATTTACCGGAATACTAATATTTTTATTTTCTTTATTTCTTGTGTGATACTGGTGATTAACAATTTTTTGCAAGGAATCACATGAATGCATGTAATTGCCTATCGTTAACATGTAAATAGTTCTAACATTGCAAGCATCATACATAAATAGTAGTCTTGTTGGATACATTCTATTCTTCTTATAAATAATTTTTAGTATTTTCTTTTGAACTATATTTAATTTGTACAATGCATTATTATATAAACCACCTCAGACCAAAATTCCATGTCTTTACAGGGATTCAATGAATGATTTATATATGATAACTAAATTTTTCTTGTTCAAAATGTATTTCAAACAATAGAACCTGTAAATTAGTTTGCGAATTTGATTTGAAATATAGTCTATGTGTTCATGCCACTTCATGTGCCGGTCCACAATGATACCCAAATAGTTTATTTTCGGTACCTCGCTAATTTTTTCATTTTCAAGGGTAATAAAAGAATAATCTGGGCGTGTTGATACTGTCAAAGAAAAAGCAATATACTAATTTTTTTTTAAAGTTTGTTTGTATCCTGCCAGTTTCTCACTCCATAGAGTAATCCATTCAACATCACTCCAGTCCACCCCATCAAACACCGAGACGGTACCATCCGCAAAGGAAATTATTGTACTGTCAATATCCACTCCCAGAAGTGAATTCAAATAGATGACAAATAAATATCAGTCCCAGGACTGTGCCCTGAGGAACACCAATCTCTATTTCCTGCTCGTTACTGATTGTGCCATTTAGTTTAACAAGTTGACACCGATCTTTTAAATGGATTTCAAAAATCGCCAACGCGACCCCCTAACCCCATAATGCTCAAGGGTACTTAGTAGCCTGTTGTGGGGGGCCTTGTCAAAGGCCTTAGCCAGATCAATAAACAAACCTGCATATTTCCTACCAGCATTGAGGTTTTCCATTATTTTTACTGTAAATTTATATAATGCATCGTCAGTACCTATTACAGCCATATTGATTCTTATTTAGAATGTTGCATCTATTCAGAAAGTCGTTGTAGTAATTTGCCATTTCCCCTTTAACTGTGTGCCGTCTTCTCTGTGGATTAAAACTTGTTCATTTTTACTCTGGTTTTCATTTGTACATTCCTTTATAACACGATATAACTTCTTTGCATTGTTTTTGTTGCTATTAATTTTATTTTGGTAAGATTCATTTTTTTGTTTAACAATTAGTTTTTGTAGATAGTTCCGATACGATTTATATTCTTTTTCTAGTTTTATGTTGTAATTTTCTAACTATTTTCGTTTTAATCTATCTCTGTGTTTTATAGATGTTATCAATCCATCAGTTATCCATGTCTAACGTTTTTTTGTTGTTTAGGGTCGTTGGATTCATCTAGGGCTCTATTAAAGATTGATATAAATTCATTAGTAGCCGTTTTCGGGTTATTATCATTAGTCACCCATGACCAATCCTGACTATTCAGTGTTTGTTTCAATTTATCTATGTCTGTTTTGATTGTGAAGTTTTTCTTGCTTCCGCATGTTCTATTTGAGCTCGGTAGTGATTTCTCTGTTAAGATATTAATCATCACCGGAATGTGGAATGTTATCTGGTGGTCCAAAGTGAAAGATTGGAAACTGAATAAACATGGCTTTTAGATTTTTTTAACAAATATGTGATCTAAACAACTTTTTGTATCACTTCGAGTAATAGTGTTGATATATGAGGTAAAGCCAAGTCCTGCCAATGTAGATTGGCGGGGTGTATCAGGTTTAACTACAAAAATTTTAACACATGAAAATATGGCCAATTTTGAACAAAAAACGTTTATACAGCATGGGGTCCAAACTCAACCATTTTTATGAAAAGGGCCTTTAAAGTTTTGACATTTTTTGACGAATATTTGAAAGATAAAGAAAATTTTAATGATTATGAGATGTAATAACATTTAGTTTATTCAATTTTTAAGTAATTATACATTTTTAGTTAACAACAATAATAAAAAAACAACATGAAAATTTCATTAGTAATTCAGTATCTAAATATCTGGCAACATACCACAAAGGTGGTTAAACCTTCGTTTAACTGATTAATTGATTCTTGATTTGTCTTGTCATGTCGTTAGTTGAAGTATTAGAAACGCATGTAATTCATCCTTTTTTGAAAATAAAATGTTTAAAAACGTCGAATATGCAGATACTTGTTTAGGCAGAATAGTTGCAAAATGCTCATTCAGCCGCCAGAATTTACTGGGAAAGGTTTCCCAAAAAAACGGCACCCACCTAATGAAAGAACATTGTGCCTGCTTTACAAAGATTGTGTGATACGGGAAGTGTCTGTGTGCAAAATCTGCATCTTGTTGATTTTAGTGTTTTGAGAACCTTTTAACAAAAACTAATATTTTCATAATAAGGATTTGGCAAGTAGCTGAGTGAATTATTTATTTTTTCTCTTGAGTGTTTAGTGCAAAAATGTCGTTGAGTAAAAAGGCAGATTCTTTATTTCCACTAGGAAAGTGATAAAAATGCCAATTAATATTTACATTATTTGAAAGCCAGTAACAAACCAAAATAAATAAACTCCTTGCAAAAAAAAAAACTTTCTTATTTATCAGTTTTATTTACATTTATATTCTGGCAGAGATAATTATCTGTACAATGTTGTCACGTTGTTAACATTTTTCTAAATTTAAATTCTGTGATAACTCCGAAAATACTGAAAATTGACCCATGGTTAATGGAACAGTTTTGGCTTGGAATGGGCCATATTATATCATGTTAAAATGTTTATACTCATACCTGATACACACTAGTTAAAATTTTCATTATCTACCTACTGTATCTAATGTATTAAAATTTGTATTCTTCTCTAGTAGCTCTAAGTTATTTGAGTTTCCCAACAAATTTAAATAATCATGGAGATCTTTTGTAAACTCAACCTTTGGAATTGGTGGTGGTTTATATACCGCACCAATACCCATTGAACTCTCACCTACCCTACATTACAAACGACGACCTAATGTTGCTTTGGACAATGGGGATTTCACGATTGAGAAATCTGCCTTTATATCATCTCTAACCAGAATCGAAACACCATTATAACCAGCATCATTAAAATATGTCTGATGACCTGGAATATAACAATTCATAATACATGTATCTTTAAAAGCTTCACTCAGAACACAAACATCCAACAAAATACAGATTATATGCATGAATTAGAAGAATAAATTTATCAAAGTTCATATTTGCACTTCTTATGCTAAGATGCAACAAATTTAGTACCTCATTACTTAATTTAATAGATTTATGCAATTCAGTTTCATTTACCAAATGTCCTGTATGCACCACTTCCTCTGCAATGTCGTTCATATTATCATCCAGTTGTAGTTGAACCATTAGATGATAAAATGATAATGATGAATTTGCTAAGTTTATAACTAGGTATTCAATTTTTGGGAATTCCAAGAAACAGTTACAACTTATTTTAATAACTATCCAGCAAGCAACGGTAGCAATCTCTTTCTAAAGGCAACCATACAAGAACAACCAAAGATCTTATTGGTTTAAATTCCTAAATAGTCAAGTAAATAACCTCGTTCCATAATCATTTTCTGGAAAGTTGACTGGAATCTTGGATTTTCCTATACAAGTTTTGGACAAATTTTAGTATCATATTGCAGCTCGACTTACAGTCGTACATAAGATGTTGTACAGGGTTGGCCAATTTGGACACTTTTAATAGGAAATGCTAATTTCTGACGTGAGCGAGATACAAAAACATGAACCCGTCACTGTGAGACTCAAATTTCGTGAAATCTTCATTGGTACAAACTGCTGTTGGATACCTTACCCCGTTTTGCCATCAACAGCATTGTCATCGCCCTTTTTGTTTTTTAGATACAAGATATTTTTGAGAATGTTGCATTTTGGGACACCCCATGTATCGTCTGTCATAAGTGATCGAAAAGGTGACAAACTGGGTACATTCATGCGGCGTAGTCAGATTTTCTCTAGAATTCATAGTGGAGGGTGTCCCAAAATGTAACATTTTCAAAAACGCCCTGTATCTGAAAAACAAAAAGGGCGATGACCATTCTGTTGACGGAATCTATGGTTGACGGTATTTTTCGTTTTTTAAAAAAGGAGCCAACGTTCGCGAAAACCGCATCTTTCTAACTCAAATAGTAACCGAGTTATCCCTTATGTACAACCAAAATGGAACGCCCTGTACATTACACGTGTAAGCTTAAAAATAAACCCTTCAATTAATTGTTTATTGTTCAGGTTTTGGAAGATCATCTCGACCAGACTTCGAGACTGACGCAATCAAAGCCGAAAAACAAATGGTCAGTTCCATTGAGGAATGGCGCAAAGAAATGAAACTGAAAGATTTCATTTTATGCGGACACAGTATGGGTGGATTCCTAGCGACTTCGTATTCACTCACTTATCCCGACAAAGTGAAACATTTAATTCTGGCAGATCCATGGGGTTTCCCCGAAAAACCACCAGACACTACTCAACACGTACCTCTATGGATCAAAACTCTAAGCTACGTGATGCAACCGTTCAATCCTTTGACCAGCGTTAGAATGGCTGGGCCGTTAGGCCCTTGGTTTATCAATACCCTGAGGCCAGATATTTCCAAAAAATACGCCACCGCAATAGAGGATGTAGACCTGATTAATCAGTATATTTATCAGTGCAATTCACAATATCCTAGTGGAGAGAGTGCGTTTCATGCGATGATGTCTGGATTCGGGTGGGCCAAAAATCCGATGGTACGTCGAATAGATAATTTGGATAGTAAAATTCCTATTACGCTTCTTTGGGGCTCTAAAACCTGGATTGATCATTCGGCGGAGGAAATTTTGAAGAACAAAAGATACAATTCTTATTTTAAGTTACAAGTGAGTATATTCAGTCTAATAGTATAGGTTCAAATCGCTCTATGAAGGTCGTTATTGAAATATTGTTTATCTATTGAAGGGAGAAATTTCCCATCAAAAATTCCAAAAGATATTTGATTGGTCTTGTGAGAAGAATTAGTTTTTCAACAAAAAAAAAAATCATTTTACAGGTTATCAGTGGTGCTGGTCATCACGTCTATGCAGACAAACCGGAACAATTTAATCAAATTATATTGGAAGCTTGTGAATTTACTGACACGCAAGGAACTCAAGGAAATTTAGCGATTATGCCAGTAAGTGACAGTAATGATGAATCCGAAGTGCCTGAAAGTGATAAGACTTTGAGATAGTGGCAAATTTTAACTAAGTTCCTCTGCTTTATTTGAGTCACAGAAATTTATAAAAAGCAGTATTATGTATTGCATATAATATTATGGAAGAATTTTATGGTTTACCACTAATTACTAATTAATAGTACAAATTATTCAAAAAAAATAAATAGTATATAAATTTTATTTTATTTATATTGATATGCCTAAACGATAGTTTTACTTTTTGATATTTTATTTATAAAATGTTGATACTAGTGTGATCGTGAAATTTAAATGACAAGGCAACTTAGTTTTTATTGATTAGAATAGTAAAGGGGATGCTTTTTGTTGTAATATTGGGGGATGAATTTTTCCACTATTTATCTTTTACTTCCAATTTATTGTTTCCCTTTTAGATTTTAATACTTAGCTACTCTCATTTTGTGATAATATATTGTTGAAATAAACTATTAATATTTTATTATTTGAAATGCTTTGATTTTTCTCTAATAAAATTAAAAATTGTGCCAAAAGAAAAGTACCTACCAGAGATAGTACCTACCTACTCAGATTAGTCGAAAGACACTGACTGAAAACTTAAATGAGACTAAGGACGGGTATTATAAAACTATTTTGACTGCTAGTAAAAAGTTAACTTGTAGAATTACTATGGGAAGTAACGTCCCAAAAAATATTTAAATATATAAGCTGGAACCTGAACTCAAAAGTAATGACAAATACTCTGAAATAGCACATAACAAATGATGTTCTAGACAACAATTCCATGGCTGAAAAGTTTCACCAAGCCTTCATTCAGCAGAACCTTATTACTACTCTCCCTGTTTTACCGATCCATACGAGGGTTGAAGAGTCTGTTGAAACTATAACTTTTAATGAAGAAAAAGTCAAAGAAGCCCCTAAAAGTATGAAAAAAGACTCCAGTCCAGACAAAGATGAAATCTACGATAGTACTGCAGAACTGTGGCGAATCGATTAGTTCTCGACTAGCTGAGGCTATGCAGGAATGTTTAACACTTGGAAAAATTCCATACCAATGGAAAAAATCGATAGTGACTCCAGACCAAAAAACTATAGGCCTTTTTAGTCTAACATGCAATCCATTAAAATGCATGGAAAAGATAATTGTTAAAGAACTGACAGCGTTTTTCTTTGAAAAAAATCTCATACCTCTTTCACAATACGGATTTCTCTTACAAACAACCATTATAATTCTCAACCCACAGATGTGATCTATCTGGATTATGAGAAGCCATTCAACAATGTCCCACATAATCTAAGTTGAAACACTTAAGAATGAGAGATAAGCTCATTGCTGTAATGAGACTTACTGCATGAGATATTCTATCAAGTTAAAGTAAATACTGTGCTATCAAATCGCAACATCTTGTTAGTGGTGGAGTTGTTCAGGGTTCGGTCACGGGCCCTTTGCTTTTCACGTCATATTTGTTTGATCTTATCAGTTTCATTGAATCTAGAATTAAAAACTTCGCAGATGATGGAAAGCTTTAGACAAATCTGCTAGTACATGCAGGGCAGCTAAGGACTGTCCTAAAAATGTCGAAGAATGATCTAAAGATTGGGGAATATGAAGATGAATGAGTCCAAATGTACCTACAGTCTTGAGAATCGGTCCAAACAATCTAGATGAAAAATACAAACCTAACAATGTGATATTAAAATCTGTGGCAAATCAAAATTACCTGGTAGCCATGATAACTTCAGGGAATGGGAGAACCACATATTAAAAAAAAGCCAATTCTTTTGTATACCTCATAGAACAAACATTTAAAGACCACCCGATAAAAATGATAAGCAAACTATAAAAGTTACATACGACCAAAACTTGATACTTTTTTCAGTGTGGAATCCCTACTATATCAAAGATATAGAAGTTCTAGAGAAGAAACAAAGACGACTTACAAAAATTGCACCAGAACTATGAGACCTTCCATACACAGAGAGATTGACAAGATTAAAACTAAAAACTTTAAAAGAGAAAATACATAAAGGAGACTCGAAACATACAAAATAACAAGTAATTACTATGCAATATCAGAGATATCTTTGTACAAAAGCAAAACCTTCTTCATGGGTACTCCAAGAAACTCGAAAAAGAAAAACCGCAAAACTGTCTGTTCAAAAATAGAATAGATAAAGAACTCGAGAATAGTGCAGTTAGCAGTTAGAATGATACAACTACAGTGAATGAAAGTTTCCAATACACATACAAGAAAAATAGATTTTTAACGCAGCAATAGCTTCATCGGTTTTACCGGCTGCTCTTCGAAAAATTACATGACAACATATTTTTCTCTGGATTTTGTATGCAATAGTTAAATGTTTATTTTATTGAGTATCATGTGTGACAGTAAACGAAAATAGGGCAAAATATCAATGTTTGATACACCCATTTTAGAAGCATCATACAAAAAAATCAAACAGGATAATATAAATCCAATGAAATTATGATGTTGCAACAGCAACACTATCTTCAAAAACTTTCCAAAAATAGGGATCAATTTCCTTCTATAAAATTCATGGTTAACAAATGGAACTAACGGCATAGATAGTGTAAGAGCCATTTAATCAACAGAAACTCTGAAAACTGTCAAAAATAAAGACATCTCAGCTGAACTATTAATGAACGGTATCCCAAAATCAACAGAAATGTTGAGACATTTGTTATAGACATATACAGGGTGTCCTTAGATAAACTGACACATTTTGCAGGTAAATTTCTCGAAAACGGGACAAAATAACGAGATGCGGTGTGTTCTGGGAGAATAAGGAATTTTTAAAGTTTTTTTTCACATTATTGCCAAAGCCTAAAATTTGCTTAAATTTGGTTTAACAGACATGTGGTTTTTTGGAATAAAATGACTGCCTTATTTTCAATGAAACACCCTGTAGATTTTGTCATCGTCAGAAAGCCTGATTTTTCTACTTTACAAAATTGTATAATTTTTTTTCAATTATCTTGGACTTGCATCGTGAAAATTGCACTTTGTGGAAGAGAATACCATCAACTAACCAAAAAAAATTGAGAATTAATTTGTGTTTGAAACTTTTATTAACTAATTAGCGCATAGTTAACTAATAATACAAGTATTAAACACAAATAAGTGCATATAAAACACAAATTAATTTTTATATTTTTTTTTTGGCCAGTCAGTGGTACGCTCTTCAACCAAGTGCAATTTTTACGATTCAATTTCATGGAAATTGGAAAAAATTATACATTTTTGCGAAGTAGAGAAGTCTCGCTTCCTGACGATGAAAAAATATACCAGGTGTTTCATCAAGAATGAGGCAGTACGCGTAATTATTTCAGAAAATCGAATGTCTGTAAAACCAAATTTCGGGATTCATTAATACCATGGAAAAAAACTTTAGAAAATCCCTATTCTTCCAGAACAAACCGCATCCCGTTATCTTTTCTCGTTTTCGAGATATTCACCTGTAAAATGTGTCAGTTTATCTAAGGACACCCTGTATTATAAATGAAGAATAAATGTTACAATTTTGGAAAACATTCTGATGGAGAGCACCAACATGACCAACACATAAAAACAAAGACACATTTTTCCTGAAAAAAATGAATAAGCTTAAAAAAATATTTATTAAGAAAATAACATAAATTCCAACATTTTCATAACATTATACAAGCAAATATTGAATTCCATAAAAATAAACTACAGCTAAAAAATATTGTCCGCAGAATTCTCTTTGTTTTCTGAATTTAATTCACTCAAATTATTTACAAGTTTAACATTGTCCGCTGGATTTATTGGTTCCAAGGAATCACCATTTTCATCTTCAATTTGGCATTCTGAAACAACACCATCAATTGTTTCTGTGAGAGTGTCTTTTTCTGAAGACCGCAATTCAACATTTTTATGATTTTCATCATTTTCAAATGGAATGTCTTCTTGACTTGGATCTTCATCAATGACCATGTCATGATCACTCTGATCACTGGTGTCAACAGAAGTCTTTTGATTTAAAGGCTCTTCACTGGTTACCATTTCCTGATCGATTTCATCACTATCAAAAACGTTTATTTTGGATTTTTCACTTAAATTACTAGTGGCTTTCATAGGAACATCTTCATCACTATCTATAACATGTCTTTCATCTTGCGATAATACCACATCGTTACTATTTGTATCATGTATGCCATATTCTACTTCTATATCATTATCAAATAGCTTTCTAAATTGTTTTCCATTAGTTAATTTTTTTGATGTCTTCTTTATTGACCTTCCTTTAAGTGTAGTTTTACCTTTAATATTACTCTCAAGATCAAAAGCAGGCAATTCCAAGGGTACACTTTCATTATTTTCTTCTTGACTACTTTGTGTGTTTTGAAAATAATCATTAATACCACTTGTAGTTGCCACTTGACTAGATACTTCCTCAGATGCTTCCTCAGATACTTCCTCGGATACTTCCTGAGAAACAACTAAATCCAATGCAGCTTTTTCTCTAATATTTCTCAACCGTTCTTGCCTCAGTTTCTCAGCCTTCTCTTTATTAATCCTGATAGTTTCCAATTGCTCAGTAGTCAGTTCTGGCTGTTGATTTTGCACAAGCTCATCAAACTGTTGATTAATTTGATCATTGTTGATGTCCACAAAGCCATCAACGTTGGCTTCTTCATCTGACGAGTCAATGATGGGTTTATCTTCTTGTTCTGTTATCAAATCGAAACGGATTCTTTTGATGTGAGTCTGTACTGGCTTTTTGGATCCAAGTTTTTCTAGTCGGTCAATGCAGGTATCAAACGGGAATTTTGGAAACAAACGGTGACACCAGTATTCATACGTTTTCATAATGGCATTCAAATCTTGATTTTCGTGGCCTTTTCCTTTGAATTTCACCCTTTCGAAGTATGAGGGAATTGCTGCTATACCTCTAGGACCTTAATAAAAGCCAAATAAGCAAAAACATTATTAGAATATTTATTACTAACCTTTAAGGGTTTCTGCATTTAGTTTCGGTTGCGGATTCCTAATAATGCGTTTTACTTTAACTGGTTGAACATCTTGATTTTCGCCATCAGCATTTTCGTCTCTTTGGACTTCTTCTGTGTTTTCTTCAGTATTTTCAGTGGCCACATTGTCTATAAAATCATTTTGTTCGTTGTCTGAAAGAATTTCAGCATCCTTAAGAGAATCGTCGTCGGAGGACATGTTTATAATTATATTATTTGAACTATAGTTTGAAGAAATTGGAAGAAATGTAAGGAGTTTATTTGTGTTTTTGTGTTGATTTTTGGCGCTAAATAAATTAGGTTAGAGAAGGTGTGCGTAGTTTTGAAAATGTTGGGTTATGGTTGGGAGGAAGATTTCTTTATTTTGATTCTTCATCTGCCCATTGTTCTGCATCATCAGAATCAGAATTTTCCTGATTTTCTAAATTAGATTCTGTTTGTTTGATAGCTTCCAGAAATGCCACCAATAAATGCCTATTTATACGATCGGTTTGAGTCAGTTCGCGTTCCTGTGGCTGTTGTTGCTCTTGATTTTCACCGTTTTTTACAGCTTGAAGGTCAGTATGTTGGTCTTTATTGATCCCGGGCATTTTTATCGAAAAGAATTACCTTTTTAGAAATTTATTCGTTAATATACTAATAAATAATTATTAATTATAATTATATTTATTTTGACTTTGATTGATAAACATAAACACAAGCCCCTAGTCACATCACATCACCGTCACACTAGTCACCAGTGTTGCCAATCTGATTTTTTGAAATTACACGATATGCTGGTCAAATTACACGTTTTTACACGCTTTCAGTCTCACAATTACACGAATTTTACACACGACTTTGGTACCTATTTTGCAAAATCAAGAAGCAAGTATAATTTTTTTTGTGAATAATGATTTTGGGAAATGGGTCAAATCTAGTCAAATCTGAGGGTTAATGCTCCTGATCATAGCTTATAGCTTCTTAACCAAAAATAAAGATGTGGCAACGACAGAAACGCGATCCCAAAGTAATCAAATTACTAATTATTTTACTTTGGTTTCTGGAGAACTGGATACTTTTGGACCTCAGTTTCCTGCAAGGATAATACACACTACTACTACAGGATAGCCTATCCTCATAAGGCCTGTGTAGTTCAAATCTCGAGCTCCTACCATAGCAAAACACCAGTGATGACGTTGATGAAATGATGACCAAGGTTTTCTGGTAATGGGTAACTTGATGATGAATCTGGGGTGCCTTATGGACATTTGAATTATGTTAGGGCACCCCAGATGACGTCATAGAGTTATCCAGGCAACCCATTTCCATAAACGAGGTCGATAAGCAATCCTAAGTAGTGTGTATTGATCTTTAGTTTCCTGAAATCTTGAGCCGTTTTTTCGCGTCCACTTTTTTGACATTGGTTCAAACCTGCTTTGAAAAAAGTGGATGCGAGAAAACGACTTTGGTTTTGAGCCTAGCCATATACATACACCAAAAAATAATGGTGGGGAATGCAAGGAGCCATTGGAAGAGGAAACGTCAAGTCCTATCTATATCACAATGGGGCGATGGCTTTAGATTTGAAAGCCATGAGACAGAACAAAAATAAAGAGAATGTCAAAATTTTCAAATTACACGCAAAATACACGCTTTTTGTTTATGTTCGACAAATACACGCAAGCCAATCAAAATACAGGCAAATCGTGTAATTACACGCTAATTGGCAACACTGCTAGTCACAGTCAGTTCAGTCCAATGATTCAAGTCAGTCGTACAGTCACGTCTCTGATACGTTAGGGATGGCAAAGCTATATCGATATACGTATTATAGCATATTTGAAATGTATCAATAAATTATTTCGCTATTTTGAATCGATGTTAGATTCCTCGTACCAATTTATTCTAGAAAATGAATCATAATATAAAAAAAATTAGATAAGAAACTGTGAGGGCGAATTCTCATGAGCGTAAGTTGACATTTCTAGCGTAATCACGTGATCATATGGTGTGATTTGATTGGTAAAATCTCTAGCATGGCGAATATTTTACTAATAAAATCTAACCATTTTTCATTTTATCACGTAATTAAGGGCGGGTATTATAAAACTGCTTTGACAGTTAACTTGAAGTTAACTTTTTGAATTACATGTATTTTCAGAAGTTAACTGTACGTTAACTCTCAAAGTAGTTTTATAATACCCGCCCGCCAGAAATCTGGCCCTGACTGAGATACGATGTATCGTTATGGTAACCCTTTATCGAAGTTTTCAGACAATTTGTCTCTGTCTTTAAAAAATTACGGTGTGTGCTCAAGACTTGATCTTTGCCGTCATATTGAATACTGGTGTGATTTGGATCACAAAACCTTGGTATGGATCCAAGGAACACACACAATACTGATTGGCTGTTTGCGCCAGCACTCGTAGTTTAGAATTATGGAAAATATTATTTAATTTTGATTAACATAATAGGCAAAGAGGAAGATCATGCAAACGAAATCCAAAAAAGAGTTGTTTTAGAATGTTAATTAATGTAGTAAAACCAAGTATGCATTAAAGCAAGAGCTCCTGGAATCATAACCATAACCTGTGGTACAAGCACCCTTCGCCAAGGCAAGAAACGACATGCTGCTACGGCATCACTGGTGCTTTGGCATGGTGGCGGGCTTGATATATGAACTACACAGGCCTTATGAGGATAAGCTATCCTGTAGTAGTAGTGTGTATTATCCTCGAATACACACTACTACAGTTTGCTTGGCGGCCTCGTTTTTGGGAATCGTGGCCATATTGTGCACCATTGTCGACGTCTCAACGACGTCGTCAGCTGTTTGCGCCTGCGGTTGTAGTTCAGAATATACATTTATGATGAAAAATGTTATTATTTAATTTTGATTAACATTAGGCAGAGAGATGACGCAAAAGAGATCAAAAAAGCATTGTTTTAGAATGTTAATTAATGTACTAAAACCAAGTATACTTAAAGAAAAAGCCCGCGGAATCATAGCCTGTGGTGCAAACACCCTACGTCAAGGCGAGAATCGAAACGCTTTCTACGTCATCACTGGTTCTTTGGAGTGATGGTACCAAGGTTCCGAAAGTTAACCTCTCTCAAACAACCTTGGTGGGGGGCAAGATTTCTGAAGTTAATACGTTGCCTGGTAATGGGTAACCTGATGTCGCATCTGGGGTGCCTTATGGAAATTTGCATTATATTGAGGCACCTCAGATGACGTCATAAAGTTATCAGAGCCGCTTTCCAGTATGGGAGTGTGACGCTTGGAGCTACTCGGAGCGTTGAGCCCCAGCTATACTACGTACGGACAAACGTCACACGTCATGATACTGGAACGGTACAGATCTAGTGCGTGGCGCTCCCGGGGTGCTCTAGAGCGCGCCAATTTGCATACTGGAAAGCAGCTCAGGCAACCTAGGGGGCTAGAGATTTGATCTAAACAGGCTATCCTGGGCTGCGTTCAGATTGAACGTCGGGTGTCGCCCGAGCGCGTTCTGACCGTTCAGATTGCTTTGGGTAAAATTTATCCAGCCGTTCAGATTGTCAGTAGATTTTTACCGGACGACGCCCGGACGCACACTTTTGCGTCCCATAAAATAGCAAGATAAAATTTGCCCCGCATGCGCGTTTGTGTTCTAACCTTAAATAATAAAGGCAAATATTGTAAATAATTATTTTTGCGAGTTATGGTGGGTTTATCCAAATTCTTCGTTATCCTCAACTCTATTTAAAAAAAAAGTAGCCTCTTTTTTTTTGTTTAGTTTGTGATGCTAAATTGATAGCAATCACTGACACTAGCACATCCTCGTGGTCCGAAGATGAAGCGTCCTCATCATTAAATAACTCTTTAAATATGAAGGAAGATACTATGGCTTCTTCCATAGTTAGTATTTATTTAAAAAATTTTGAAGAAAATGGCAAAAATGTTAGAATCAGTGAGGTTATAAAGAGAGAATGCATCTTGGCCGTTCAGATTGGGCGAATCGCCGGGCACACTCGGAGTGCGCTCTCTATCGGGTGCGCTCTTCACTGGACGTCGTCCGGACTCTTCAATCTGAACGCGCCCCTGTGGTATAGTAGTAGTAGTAGTTGTATTCCTTTCACACCTAGGAGGAGCTCCGGAAGAGCTCCGGGGCTTCACGCCCTTATTCCTTTCGAAAAGTGTTTGTTGCACCACGCATCTGTTCCCTGCAAATCGTGGGCGACTGAACACCGGAGCGAGTAGCTCGAGTGTTTTAAACTCTTGAAAGGAATACAACTAGTGTGTATTAGTTGTATTCTTTTCAAGAGTTTGGAAGACTCGAGCTACTCGCTCCGGTGTTAGTGGTCCCCGATTTAAAAGGAAGAGATGCGTGGTGCAACAAACACTTTTCGAAAGGAATAAGCTTGTAACGCCCCGGAGCTGTTACGGAGCTCCTCCTAGGTGTGAAAGGAATACAACTAATATACTTAGATTCATCCATTAAGGAATTATCCTTGCGTTCGGTATTTTGCTCAAAGAGCAAAGCGTGCTGACCGGATCCGTAATCTCGTGACCAGCGATATAAACGAACGCGTTAAGCCTGCGAGAGTACACTTTTCAAATAAACGATCGGTAAATTCAAGCTCGGAGAAATCATATCAAAATACCGAACGCACGGAAAATATATACAGGGTATTCCATTTAAAACGAAACAGGCTAAATATCTAATGCCACGTTTAGTTTTTAAAAAATCGCCCGTACACGTAATTTGATTTTCAAAGAAGTTTTCTGCAACCATTTTTAGCACTTCAACTTTAACCCTCTAGGCGGGGTGGGACCAACCCTTACTATTTTAAATGGAACAAGGGGTCGAGTGATACCTCTTTTAAAAGAGCATTCAATTCTCTTTCATTTGATGTCATTTGAAATAAAATTGAACGGTTTTTGGAAACAGGTATCACTCGACCCCCTGTTCCATTTGGAATGGTAAGGGTGGGTCCTAGACCTTCTGGAGGGTTAGGTTAGTGCTGAAAATGTTTTAAACACTCACACAATTAATTACGTATATAAACGATTTTTTGAAAAAATAAAAGTGGCATCAGATATTCAGCCTGTTTCGTTTTAAATGGAATACCCTGTATGATCTACACCCAATGAATTATAGCTATTGGTTATAGTTCATTGTCTACACAAATCCAAGCGGCAGTAAATGACATTAAAATAACCTAAATTGTAAACAAACACCAGCCTTCCTGTAGTGTACAAATACCTTAGAGCAGGTAAAGGTAAAGGAGTAGTAACCTGGATTTGGAAAATGAAGCCGTTTTTTTCCAGGTATTTTGGCCCACAAAAAATGGCGGTTATGGCAATTCCATGCTTTACCTGTATTTTGGTGCCAAACACCTGCCAAAAACTTGGCTTCACTTTAGTTTCATAAGCAGAATGGCGCGTTCCTACTCCTTATGTCCGTAGGACAGCGCTTTACCTGCTTTAAGGCAAATACAGTGCAAGCAGGTTTCCGCTTACTAGTAACCAGCGCCGACTCGCGCTTATAAGCGCGAAAAATGAATGCATGTTTTTAAGGGCGGGTATTATAAAACTGCTTTGACAGTTAACTTGAAGTTAACTTTTTGAATTACATGTTATTCCAGAAGTTAACTTTAAGTTAACTCTCAGAGTAGCTTTATAATACCCACCCTAAATCGGCTAGAACACAGTAAAAAGCAGGTACTCTACCGAGTCGGCGCTGGTTACTGGTAGGCGGAAATTTGCTTGCACTGGTTTGTACACTTGGTTTCAACACTTCCAACCCGCCAAAAAATTTCGGATTCTACGATTCTACGCACAAATTGTACGTTTTGCGCAAAATCCTACGGTTCCCTGCAGCAAAAATAGCTAAATTCGGGTTCTTGTTACACTGAACCGATTCGGGATCGGACCGCGAACTAAGCAATAAGCTGTTTTAGAACTGTTTCAGGTATGTGCAGTTTACTTTTTTTTTTCCGGGATTTATCATTTTATGACGATTCTGGATTCAGAAGTTTGACGTTCGGATTAACGTCGGAACTGTTCTGGAACGCTCCTAGAAGTCGTAGAACTATCAGAATCGATTTCTACCGACCTTTTAGACCAAAACCGACGAATGCAGTTCATCAATAGTTCATCTAAGAACGAACCATAGTTCGTCTTGTGACGTCATGTGTTTGAACGCTGGCTAGAAACTGCATCCATGCTCCCGGCGAACTACGATCAATATGACGTCATAGTTTTTCGCGAAAGCGTTTATGTTCATGAAATCATAAAAGCATAAAAAAAAGTTTGTCGCGAAAATTCGGTACAAGTAGGTACTTTTCGGACTGTTCGTACCATAATGGTTTGTACACATGCGCATGTCGACAGAAAATGATTCCGTCAACGGTATTTTCGGAAGCTACGGTACGGTATGGTAGCTTCAAGAGGACGTTCATAATCCTGCCCCAATCTCGGGACGGCAGCTGGTCTGCGGGTGACGTCACCACTAGCAGCAACTAATAGTGGTGATGTCATCCGCAAACCTTGATGGGCTTGCGATTTAGGGCCCTATCCTATTCTCCCTAGTTCATAAGGCCTGGCTTAGTTGATAAGCTTGGCTTTGTGTGTGACAAAGACAAGTTGGTGGAAACGGCCATTAGTGTTTTAAGCTCGGATAATGCATTTGACGCCAGAAGTTGAGGTCTGCTGCTGACGTCACAAATAGTGGAGACTTGTCGCGCAGGGATGGCAGATACTTTCAGCGTAATAAGCAGTCCTATTTGGTAAAGTGTCCTTGGGTTTATATCCGAAGTTGTTTGCCTGTCGTGACGTCATCTGGAATCCTGAACATAATGCTAATCTCTATTAGAAGAACCACCTGATGGCGTCATATGTTTGCCATTACCCATTGAGGTAGAATATTTTATTCGAATTTTCAGTAATTACTCGTCAACCGATTTGGTTACTTGTTATATTCAGACCGCCCTAATTTTATACCGTTTTCAACTTTCGCCCCAAAACTACTCCCGATTGATCAAAAAGCGATCCAAAACGAATTTACATGTTCGGCTTAAAACGGAGTTTTCCTCTTGGTGAAATTCACGTGTTCCAGTTGAGCACTAGAACGGTCTCAAATCTCGCATGCACGCTCTTTCTTGCTCTATCAAATGTATCCGAGTGGGATCAAAACAATAATAGCCGCTTTCCAGCTGACGCTTTTGAGCACGCAATCGAGCTTTTGCGCGCGCAAATGCTTCGAGCGCGTGTTCGTGTTCCAGCACAGCCTCCTGTTCCAGCCGTACTGCGCTTCGAGAGCTGCTAACTTTTGCGTTTCAAACACAGAACACTGTGCTGCACCGTGCTTGAAGCACACAGCTGTAGAGGTGGGAATCTAACTATCGATATATCGATAGTAAGGAATAAAAACTATCGATGTATCGATATAACTATCGATAAAAAAAAGGGTTTACGTTTTTGACCCATTTTGTATTTGGGGTTTCTTCAGCAATTAGTAGGTCAGGCAAGCCAAAATTTTAATGTTAATGATCTCCAACTACAGTGTGCAGATGAAGGCCCCACGTGGCTCTACCTCTACGGTTTACGCCCTACCACTACGGGCTACGCCCTACCACTACGGCCTACGCCCTACCACTACGGCCTACGCCCTACCACTACGGCCTACGCCCTACAATACAAACACAACAAGACCTAGAGAAAAAAATACCCATATGAAAGTTAATAATAGGTTTGTTCGGAATTAGTTCAGAATCAGTTCTGAATTGAACTGCGCTTACGCATTTGTTCATATCGAACATAAATAAACAAATGCGCATGCGCAGCTCAATTCAGAACTGATTTTGAACTAATTCCGAACAAACCTATTGTGAATAACAATGTTTTATCACACACATGTTCTTTTTTCTTTAGACTGGAAGTTAAGAAAGAAATAAACACCACTATGAACTGAAATACAGTGTAGTTGAGTTGTGTAGGTTGTTGTTGTTAACTGATGATAACAGGAAACATAACTAATCATCTGGCCATACCATCAAAACCAAAATAAAAAACATCAAGGTTGTTTGAGAGATGATAGGTTGCCTGATAAGTTTTATGGCGTCATCTGGGGTGCCTAAACATAATTCCAAATCTCCATAAGGCACCCCAGACCAGATGACGTCATCAAATTACCCATTACCAGATAACCTATCAACTTTAGGAGCTTAATGCCTCTTTCTCACTTGCGCGAAATTCGCTCTTTTTGCGCGAAATTTGCTGTTTTTTTGACATTGCTCCGATAAGTTGACGTTTTATGCGTGTATCAAACGTCAAATTTCCGAAGCAATGTCAAAAAATAGCGAATTTCGCGCAAGTAAGAATGAGGCATTAAGCCTAGTACTCATAACTGCGAAATTCGCACTTTTTTGACATTGCGTCGACAATTTGACGTTTTATGCGTGAATCAAACGTCAAATTGTCGAAGCAATGTCAAAAAAGAGCGAATTTCGCAGTTATGAGTACTAGGCTTTAGCCTTAATAAAAGATGAAATGTATGATATTTCTTGACACTTGACATTGCTGACATAAGAAAAGACAGGAGAACTGCTATCGATAGTCCAAGTAGAACTATCGATAGCTCGATAGTGTAGCAAACTATCGATATATCGATAATTACTATCGATAGTTTCCCACCTCTACACAGCTGGAAAGGGGCTAATATAACCCACTTTTTTATACAGGGTGTCCCACGAGGTTTTGCCCAAATGATATCTTCGGAACGCATCATCGTATGTTCCACTGTATAATTTTTTTATCATTTTCTTTAACGAAGCCTCAACAAATATGGCATCGCCGATTTTGTAATTTAATTTTCTAACGAAAAATGTCATAATATACCTACCACTTATGATGAAAAATATTTAAGATTCTAAAGTTGACGTCACTTGACTTAAATTGAACAGAAACTGGTGAAATTGGATGACAATGGTAGAAGCGGCACAAAAAGTTACCCAGATCCTCAAAATTTCATTAATATTGGATGACGTGTTCCGAAGTTATTACCTGGGAAAAACGTCATGGGTCATGGGACCCTTGTATATCAGGTCTGTTTCTGCAGAAATCACAAACCAGTCAGAGTGAATTTCGAATTTCATTGGTTGAAACTAGTTTTCTGACTGTTCCTGATTGATTCCAACCATTAAAAGGCATGTTTCTGCAGAAATCACCAACCAGTCAGAGCGAATTTCATTAGGTCTACTGTTTCTGCAGAAATCACAAACCAGTCAGAGCGAATTTCATCTGTTGAAACTAGTTTTCTGACTGTTTTCAACCAATGAAATTCGCTCTGACTGGTTTGTGATTTCTGCAGAAACAGACCTAAAATTCGCTCTGACTGGTTTGTGATTTCTGCAGAATCAGACCTATTCATTTTTAAAATTTTTTGAGATTTTATTGAGAACCAGTTCACGCTGATTACCCCTCTGCCCTTTTTATAATCATTCTGTTAATGATGCTTTTTCAATTTCTTTTCTGTTCACCAAACAAAAACGTAACAGGCTATGAACTTTTTTGATTTTGAGCAAGAACCGTACAAAAGTACAATCGGAGCAGTAAAACCGAAAACGCTATTCATTTTTCAATTTGCAAGATTTATATCGATATGACAAATTCGTATCGATAGGTATAAGCACCGACTGCGTCGATAAGTCCTCCTTCTCTATCTTATCATAACCTAATTTAGTTATTCTTTAGCAAAAAAAATCATCCAGCATCCAGTGTATTCAGCTAAAATTACCAATTAATTGGTTTTCCTTGAAGATTTTCCATAGGATTTTTGACTGGGTAATGGCAAAAATTACACTTCATTCACCTACCAATTACCATGAGTAATTATTATTATCTTGACATAAAATTGTTAGTTAAAAAATGTCCCAAGTGTTTCAATTAAACACACTAAACATCTTTCTTTCCAGAATTTTGGCAAATCCCGAAGAAGTAACGCCAGCCTTTTACAAAAAGAACATTCTGGAAGCTGTCAAACAACTGTTCGGTGAAACTGGAGCTTCGATTCCCATTGATATTTTAAAGTTTAATTCAGAAACCTTGGAAGCCATTCTCAGAGTTCCCAAATCACATTACATTAAAATCCGAAGTAGTCTTGTACTCTCTGGCAAATACGAAGGAATACGGTGTATTTATTCAATTCAAAAAAGTACCCCTTTATTGTTAGCCTTGCAAGGAGACAGCAGAAACTATAATCATTAGAATAATGTCTCACTGTAGAAAAATGGGCCAAGACGGCAAAGACTTAGTAATTTTTGCTACCAAAGAAGACCATTCTGTACCTAGTAAAATATCCTTGCCACCACCAGAACCTCAACCAGGATTAATTTTAGCCAATGGTAATATCAATTGGAATTGTCCTTGTTTAGGCGGTATGGCCACAGGTCCTTGTGGCGTTGAATTTAGGAATGCTTTTAGTTGTTTTCACCATTCAAAAGCTGATCCAAAAGGTAATAATTAGATAAGATGTGAATAACAACAGGGCTTATAATGTGATGTGTGATTTCAGGTAGTGACTGCCTAGACAAATTCAAAATAATGCAAACTTGTATGCAAAAGTTCCCTACTTTGTACAATAGAGACCTTACTGATGATGATGATATGGCCAGTATGGTCGAAGCTGAACAAACTGCTGTAGAAGAAGCAGCGCCTGCTAATGAAGAGGCTCCAGGAACAAGTAATAAGTAAAAGTGTTCTCGCATTTTGTAGTTGAATATTTTCCAAAGCCAGATGGTTGTTTTTCATATTTGGAATAGTATTATCCACATGTCTAATAATAGAGTTTAAAGGACAATGCTGTGAAATAAATGTTTTCTTCATTAAATCTTGATTTCATCTTTGCTACTCAGAGTGAGTAGATTTGTATGTTTGGTTGCATAGATATTTTTTTTATGAAATAAGTACCTATTTAAATAGTTTAAATTTCCTTTGAACCATAAAGTAAAGGTCAAAAAACTTATCAAGCCAAGTAAAAAATAGGCCTGATGATGCAAATTCAGTGAACTGACCTTTGTTGTTATGCATTTTTTCAAAAAATGTTGGTGTATGGGTACCCCAATCATTTAATTTATGAATTAGACTAAGATTTTTCCGTCATTCTTTAACTGCGTGAGACAAAAAGAGAAACAACATGTTCTATATAATCTATTAAAAATTATTTATTTGACAATTGACAGATTAAACGTCATAAGCATCGGGACAAACGTCATAACCCATAAATTAGAATATTAATTTTCTTCATTGATTGAGGATTATTTATTTATTGTCTGTGTGTTTCTAGCTAGTTAGTGTTGTTGAAAGTGTGTTGTACTTCCTTGGCAGTGTCTAAGAAGTACATGTACAAATGGTGACAGATATGAAACAAAAGGCTCCCCCAAAGGAAAAACGCAGGTCAGTGTTTTGGTTAGAAAGTACTTTCCACTTGGGTAGGGATTATTTTTCTTTTTTATTTTGTTAATTAAAATCTGAAACAAGTGCTTGAATATTTTTTATTTAATTGAACAATAATAAATGAACAATCAACAGTATTTTAATGGCAGGGAGATGAGTCTATTTTGGGCAGCTGTGGGGCCCAACATAAGGTTGTTTTTTATTTTGGTTCACAAAATATCACTTTGTCCTACTTTCACCAACTCTGGATAATATTGGTTAATTAATTTTAAAGAAGCATCTAAGCTGAATTGAACTGATGTGCTTATTGATTTGATTAATATTATAGATATTTGTAGCGATTCGTTGAGTTCAATTTAGCAGCAAATCATTAAATTTATCTGTTGGTCAGTTTGAATTGCATTAAATTGGAAATAATTCCCCAGTTTAACTCATGTTACATAACATTCGATTTAGCAATCTTGCATTTGATAGTTTGTAACACTGTAGCCTTAATTTATTCATCAGCACATACTTTTCGTTCTGATTTTAATATTTTGTTTCTGGAGATTTGTATCTTGTTTTAATCGAGGTTTTAATGCAGGCCTTTGTCCCAAATTTATAGTAGTTTTTTGAAGATTTTTTTATTGAATGGGAGCTTAGTTTTTGGAGTTTTAGCTCCTTCCTTGATCAAGGTTTTCTTAAGAAAACTCCAAGGAAAAGGCGAGGGAAAAGGTATAATTTTGTCAATTTTTCATTCATACTGTGGCAATATTGATTTTGGGGTATTCTCAAAACTTTAAATAAACCAAATTCTAATTGAATTTGATTAAATTCCCTAGCGAGCAGAATTAATAATTGACAAAAAGTCATGCTAAAAACTCGGCTAAAAACTCAAGTAAAAACTGTATACTATGCCTAGAACTTGTCCTAGAATAATTAATAAGATCCATTTTTATTGAGTTCAATTTCAATGTTGCACAATATATGCTGAAAGCTATCCAAGGCCCTCTTGAGTTCTCCTTCAGGTATGTGGATTGTGGATCTGTCGTATGTGCATATTCATATGCCTACACCCTCACTTACACGATTTTTTTGGAACAGTGAAAATTAAAGTTCAAATTTAAACAAGAAGTGGAAATATATGCTTTATTCACTTCCATGTTTAGTGTTCATCCTAAAGTTTAGGGATTAGATTTTATAGCAAGGGGTGAATCACCCCCTGAGACAATTCCTCAAGCTCACCGTAAATTCCTCCAAATTTCACCAAACTGGTTGCAAATTTCCTACAAATGTCAATTAAAAATTCCCTAAAAATCCCCAAAATTGACCGTATTAAGAAATGTACTTTTTGATTTTTATTATTCTCAAAGTTAAAACCCATAAATTACCCCAAATTCTCATACATTCCCCCAATTTCCCATCAATTCCTTCAAATTCCCCACAAATTCCTCTAAATTCACCACAGTTTTGGCAAAGAGTTCCTATATGGTTTGCTACTTGAAGATGAAGGACCAGAAGGAAATTTTAATTTTTTCCCAAATTTCAGTCTTTTCTCTATCCACTTCCACTTGCAAAATTTCAATCCAATACCTGGAATATTTTCTAAAAAAAAAAACGCCCCTCAATGTATTTTTTCTGAAACAATTTCTTCTTAAATGACAGTGACTCAGTGACACATATTTTGCCTCACAACTTTGTTAATTTCAATCCGATCTTCAGTTTGAATTGAAGCCAATTAAATCCTCTGCAAATTCTTGGTAAATAATTTCAAGGCAGCTTAAATTGTGAAGCTTCAAAGTTTTTTTACTTTGATGTTTACCAAGATGTACGATCGGAAGCAAATTTTAATATTTTTTCCTAAATTTCAATCTTTTCTTTATCCACTTGCAAAATTTCAATCCAATCCTTCACACAAATTCTTAAGAAAAAAAAAAACATCCGTGAATGTCGTTTTTTGAAGCTTGATTTTTTTCCAAAATCACATTGAACCTCGCGTTGAACCACATTTCACCTTAAATCTTTGTTAATTTCAATCCAATTTTAACGTACCTAATTGGGCTTGAAATGGAGCCAATAGGTTTCTTGCATGAATTTTTTTCATTTGCTTGTTGGAAAAAGGAGTCAAAATTAATTAATTTATTTATTTATTTATTTATTCATCAACGGGAAATTCCCAATTTTACAAAAAATAAGTCTAAGAATAAAATGTTGAAAAAAAACTCAAATACACAATATATAAAAGACAAACAGATTATAAAATACAACTACATTAACACCAATCATAAAAATAACAATGGACCATCAAATCACTAAAATATATAGGTTAGGTGCCTAATCTTAATCTATTGATTATTAAGCGCCGCCCTAAGGGAGTACAAGGAGGTGTTAAACAAGTCAATTCTCAATTCATTTGCATGAGACATCATTCTATTTATGGATGAGAATTGACTATAATTGGTGCGATGGTTTTCAATACTAAATGTATTCACAACTCTAAGTGATCTAGGAGGAGCATGAATTTGAACAAGTTGCAGGAGGTCACCACAATCTATATTGTTATTAAGTATTTTACAAATAAATACCTTATCAAAATTAATTCTCCTTTCATTCAAGGACTTCATATTCAGCATGTTCAGTAGATGATCATAAGTACATGTTTCAACATCAAGTCCCAATCTAAATCTAATGTGACACAAAAATTTGCGCTGCACTCTTTCTAGTCTATCTCTGTGAAACTGATAGTATGGTGACCATACACAAGTATTATTCTCCAGTTGAGATCTAACTAAACACACATACAAAGTTTTGACAGCAAACACATTTTTGAAATCTTTGGTATGTCTTTTTACAAAGCCTAACATTTTCAGAGCTTTATTACAAATATAATCAATATGATCCACAAAAGTTAGTTTGTGGTCAAACACAACTCCCAGATCCTTAATTGTAGTTACACCATCAAGCAGAATAATTTGTACATAATACGAATTAAGTTTTGGACTTGATTTTCTACTAAACTGTATACATTTACATTTACCTATGTTGAGGTGTATATTATTATTCTCGCACCATTTCTCAAAACGTTGAAGGTCTTCCTGCAGGAGTACTGATGCATCTGGTGAGTCAATCACCTTAAATCATCTGCATGCAATAAAACATTACTATGATGGAAAAAGTCAATAATATCATTTATGAAAATATTAAAAAGTAATGGGGCAAGATGACCCCCTTGTGGAACTCCTGATGTTACACTATAATCATCAGATAAAGAAGTTCCAATTTTTACCCTTTGCTTACGACCTATCAAATATGATTCAAGCCATTTCAACAATATACCATTCACACCATAACCAGAAAGCTTCTGCAACAAAATACCAAAATCAACCCTGTCAAAAGCCTTTTCAAAATCTGTATAAATGGAGTCAACTGCAAATCCATTCTCAAGCGCTTTAGAAATTACTTGTTCGTATAATAGTAAATTTGTTGTGATTGATCTGCCCTTTGAAAAGCCATGCTGTTTGGCAGAGATAATATTTTGGAAACACACAGAAAGAAATTCATTGACAATACATTCAAAAATTTTGGGGAAATGTGACATTATAGTTATTGGCCGATAGTTAGTGACCTCATTTCTTGAACCATTGTTTTTATAAATTGGACAAACAAATGACATTTTCCATACATTGGGAAATATACCCAATGACAGAGATTTATTGTATATCAGCCAAAGAGGCCTCGATAATGCAAAAGCACAGTTTTTTATAAATATGGGGGCAATACCATCAGGGCCAGGGCACTTTTTTTATATCTATATTTGACAAATGGTCCAATATATCACTTATCTTAATAATGAGGCTATTTATATTAACATTGCTTGAGCATGAAGTAATATTTACAAGCTCTCCGTTTTTATTTATTTTTGGTTTTCCATAAACCGATGAGAAAACAGCCCTACAGTGCCTTCCACACTCTCACTTACTTGACCGTTATAATTAAGACAGATAGGAATGCCATTATCTGTTCGATACATACGTACATGCTTCCAGAATGATTGTGGGTCTGTGGTTATTTTATTCTCAGTTTCACTCATGTAACTGTTATACCAGGACTTTGCCTGCCTTTTACACAAATCCCTGAGACTGCAAAAAGCATAATAATCATTAACATCTCCAGTCTGTTTATATTATTATTAAGTTCAACTATATTTTTTTCCGATTTTTTTTCGGACTTGCAAAGGCTCTAAATTTCGATTTGAAGTTGAAATTTCTAGGTGCCGTGACGTCACGGCACCAAATTTCTGATTGGTCAGTTTTAGCCAG